GTGATGGGAAATGCAGGGTTCAGCTTGTTTCTTTAAAGCAAAAGAAAATCAGAGGGGGGAAAAAAAAATCCCCTCCCCCTTAACATTTCTGGTGCAGAGGTTTTGGGTTTTGGGTTTTTTTTTTTGTTGTTTCGTTTTGTTTTGTTTTTCAAGTCAGTTTTTCAGAAATATTTTTAAAATGTACATTTTATAAAGTTTATCAAGTATTTTCATATTTAAAGCCAAATGTAAATAGAAGTCTGTAAAGGAGGACAAGGAGAAGAAGAAAAGGAAAAGGCCACAAAAAGTATAAATTCTGCTCGGCAGTCTCGGCTAGCTAGTACCTAGATGCTACCGGTTAGCATGATTTTTAGCAAATACTTGCAAGCCTTATAGGATTCCTAATGCTATGAACTTCTCTTTATTTATTTTTAAGCATGGACTTTTAATTTGAAAACATGTTCTAGTTACTGGCATTTTTAAAAGTTACCAGCTTTCCAAGTGCTAGTCTTGTGGAGGGTGTGCATTGAGGTAATCCATTACACTCTCTGCCACATTCTTTTTCTTTTTTGGTTTTTTAATAACCCTTTGTCTTTGCCGATTGAATCTTACATTGCAGAATTGCACTCAGCCTCTGGCTCTGGGAAGCTGCTAGAAAGAGACCTGCAATGTACGCTCCATGGTACCCTTCCCCCTTGTCCATCATTTCTGTATTTCTCAACGCGCTGTGGTAAGCCCGGCGTAGGACAGACTATTGTAGCACACTTCTACAGCAGCAAATTGGGTTAGTCATTTCTTAAAATGTTGTTATGTTTAAGGACTAGACAGTGACTGACAGCGTTTCTTTGGTTCCTGATGATCCTGGGCCAAGCTGATGCTTCATTCGGGGCCCTTTAAACTGACTGAGCTCTACCCACAGACTCCAACAGGCGTTGGTTCAGCCTCTTTATCAAGGATAAAGTCGGCTCAACTGGCTCGCACAGAAGGTTTATACTGTATTTCGCTTAGGGTCTGGGGGGGAATATGTTATTTCTGCCCTTCCCTGAAAATACTTGAATGAGACACATTGTCTAAACTATAATACTGCGTACAGTGACAAAAAGCATTTCTGAGGCAGGTGGGGATGGGTCTCTTCTTTCCTCTGTCTCTTCTGTGCGAGTTGTCCTTGGTTAAGTAGCAAGGGTAGAAGGCGACACTTATTACCTGTGTTTAACGATACTCTATCCTGCCATGATAAACTTCTGTGGTGTTAGTTTAGCGCTCGCTTTTCTCGGGAAAGACAAAGGGTCCAGGTATTTCATTTGTTCTCTTAGGTCTTCTTTTTCATAATGGATTACAAGGTAAAAACTGAGAAGTACTGTAATGTCTTTAAATTATGGCTGCTCATGACCATTGTAAAGTAGAAGGGTGCTGCATAGTTGCCATCCCACAGCCAACGAGAGACTGATTTTTGTACTGACTTTTGGCCTGCAGCTATTGTAAGGTGAACAATCTAGGCATCTGACAGTTGTCCATTACTATTTTCCTCTTTGCAGCCTTTTTGTATCAAAGTCTTCCTAATGTACTGCACAAATTGTGGATTGTACAGATTTTTATATATTATGTCTTATTTTATTATTTCTAAATAAATAAAAAAAAAAATTGAGAATGAGCTGATGCGTGCAGCGTGTATGTAAATGAACGGGGGAGATGGGGCTGGAGGTTACTGTAGAGCTGTGTTTATGGCTGGGTGAGCACCGTCGTTGTCTGAAGCACTTCAGGAAGAGACGAAGAGACACGTTCCCTCCCTTTGCAAAAGGCAGGAGGAAAGGTGATACCATCGTTATTTCCCAGATGAGAACACAAACACGGTGCAAGGTTAAGGCAACTTGCACCAAAGGAGGATCTGCCCCAGAGAGACGCAGGGGCTTCCTTAAGGTGATCCCTGGAACTGCAGAGCTCCACATCATTACTTACAGGTTGCATGAAATGGGAAAAAAGCTCAAAAAAGCAGGAGAAGGGGGCGGAGGGTGGTGGCGGAATGAAAACACAGGGCATAAGCAAGTGCATTGAAAGATTTGGAAAGGGATTAAAAAATGAAGCGGAAAACTCATCTTCAAATCCGCATGTTTCCTGTCTGCCTGGAACATCCCCGTATTGAAACGATGCTCCTCAGCTCAATTCCCAGCACGCTGGCTGTAATCTTCGTACGTGCCTCGTTTGTCGGGAGTCCTGCGCCTGATGTCACGGGTGGAGCTGGGGTTGGGTGTAACGGGACGGGGA